TCTGGGCAACCAACTATATTTTTAATTTATTTATTCACGAAATAATGACGGTCAATATCTGTCACGAAATATAGTCATTCCATGACGCACATATCGATGTAGCTACAGTGACATACAAACAATGTCACACAAAAGATGACGTACAAACAATGGCGTACAAACAATGACGTACAAACAATGGCGTACAAACAATGTCGAACATACAATGACGGTCAGAAAACAAGGACAGTCATAAAGATGTTGGTCGGCACCCGTCATTGTTATTCTTTCATGACGGCACGTCCGTCATGGAAAACGCTATACATGACGTGCAATGCCCGACCTTAAAAGGGTCGTTTCATGACGGCCATGTCCGGATGGAAAGAAAATATACATGACGGGCAATGCCCGACCTTAAAACTATCCGACATGAAAGGGAAACAAGGACACTCGTATAGATGTCGGTCAGTGACCGACATGGTTAATAATTAATGTCGGGCAATGCCCGTCATGAAATAGCAGATTTGTTGTAGTGGACCAATGCTAATGCCAATTTCTCCACTTATGGGTATCTAACTTCTGCGTCTGCCATTGCTTTACTTGTGTAGTAGATTGGAGATTGTCGCCCATCTTCTTCTTTTATCAACGCGGAACTCACTGCAGTGTCAGAAAAAGCTAAGTACAAATAGAGCTCATCACCAAGGATCGGCTTTGAGAGGAGTGAGGCTGTCCCCAAGTATTGCTTTAGCTCTTTAAAGGCAGCCTCGCACTCTTCTGTCTATTCAAATTGCCCTTTCTTCCTTAGGATTTTGAAGAACGGCAGACACTTGTTAGTTGAGCGACTAACAAACTTGTTGAGTGTTGCTATTCTCCCGTTGAGTCCCTGTAGTTGCTTTAAATTTTTGGACGGACCCATTTCTAAAACAGCTTTGATCTTATTTGGATTGGCTTCGATTCCCCTTTGGTGCACTAGGAATCCCAGGAACTTGCCTAAGGTCACTCCAAATGTACACTTAGTTGGAATCAGCTTCATCTTGTACTTTCTTAAGACTTAAATGCTTCTACCAAATCCTCATCGTGTTGCTGATCTTTTTGACTATTTACCAGTATATCATCCACGTAGACTTCCATATTTTTGCCGATTAAGGCTGCAAACATTCGATTTACCATTCGTTGGTAGGTCGCACCTACATTCTTCAACCCGAACGACATTGACAAAAGAGGTCTTCTCCTGATCTGGTAAATGCATCTTGATTTGGTTATACCCAGAGTCGGCATCCATAAAACTTAATCTTTCATGTCCAGCGGTAGCGTCAACTAGTTGATCTATTTGAGGCAAGGGAAAAGAATCCTTTGGACATGCCTTATTTAGATCTTTAAAGTCGATGCACATTCTCCATTTGCCATTTAACTTTTTTACCAACACTACGTTGGATATCCACGGGGGGTAATGCACTTCTCGAATGAAGCCTTCTATCAGTAGCTCATCTACCTGTTCATCCACAATCTTGTTCATTTCTTAGTTGAATGCATGACGCTTCTATTTCACTAGTTTACAGCTTTTGTCGACGTTGAGTCGGTGTACCATGACTTCTCGATCGATTCCTGACATATCCTCATGTGACCATGCACACGTCGGCATTACTTCTGAGGAAGTTTATATGGTTCTTTCTTTCTTCCTCTCCCAACCTGGTTCCAATGTTGACTCGTCAATCCTCGGATGTCAAAGGAATAGATTCCACCTCCTCAGCCGGTTCTCCCCTACCGGGGGTGGTCGGATTTAGTCGATGACCAGGGTTCAGGCTTGCTTCCCCCGAGTGGTCAGCAGCTTCGTTCAGGCTCTTTTTTTTCGAAACGTTGTTGGCTTCCACCAAGGCTCGCGTCGACTTGCTCCATTCTACCCTTCTTGGATCTGGGTTTCGCCTCGGTTAAGTTTGCTTGAATTGTATTGTTTCCCCAGAGATGGCGCCAATTGTTGATGCTTGAATTATACTCTCTCGGCTGCCTCCGAGGTTCGCACCAAGCTCAATGATCAAGGGACCGAACACCTGCAAAACTGAACAAAACCTAAACCAGTGTGACTTTTGTCACATGGGCTCCGATGCTTAAGTTAGCAAGAGAAGAGTTAATAATTAAAGTAATTAGGGTGTTATTCTTACTTACCTTAGGTTTAGGCAACATGATTTATTTATAGTCGCTTGGAAGGTTCTAGAACCTTCTAAATGAGTCCTAGATGATTGTTGTGAAGGCCCAATGTTTCGTAGACAATAGAAGAGAGAGAATGCTGGGTTGAGCACCGAGCTGGGGTATTAATTGGTTGGCATAGGAACCGGGGGGAGAGATCGAGTAATCTCCTGACCCCGAAGGCCAAGATATCTTAGTGCCGAGGTGATCTCGGCGTCGAGGTGGGTCGGCTTTCAAAAATGGGCCGACCCCAGTCGTCGATGACCTCGAGTTTCTTCACGGTCCGACCTTTATTTTCGTTTGTTCTGTTTTGTTCCCTATAACATAAGGTTAAGTCTCAATCTAAGCCAATTTGGGCTAAAAAGTTTCTTAAAGAGAAATTTAGGATCAAATAGGGAATGAGATTAAGCCCTTACCTTAAGAGTGAGCAAAAAACTTCGAAAAACCAATCTGATCGACCAAAACCGATCGATCCAGCGTTAGTCGGTTGATTTGATGAAATATTCGATTGGAGTCAAATTTTTAATTATATAACCGAGTTGTTGGTCGATTGGTTTGGTCAGAAAAGTGATTTCCGACCAAACCGACCGACCATTTGTTTTATTTATTAAAAAAATAAATTCATGGTCACTGGTTTCAAGGTATCTTAAAAAACTATTTAATTTGATTTTTTTCTTTTTCCATTCACCTCCTCTCTTTTTTTCTTCTCCTCTCATCTGAACCTCGTCGCAGCACACCATCCACCCCATTTTTATTCCTCATCTTCTATTTTATTCTTCCCACTTTCGAGTGTGCGCTTTAGTTTTCTTGCAGCTAGCGCGCTTTACTAAAAAGACTCGGCATTCAGGCGAGCCACCCGGTGGTGTGGTACCTAGTGGGTTTAATACGCCGCCCTGCCAAAACGGCTCCGAAACAAACAACAAAAAGGTGTGTGCCGCACTCAAGAGGGATTGCCAGTGATATACTCGAGGAAGGTGGGGATGACGTCAAGTCCGCATGGCCCTTATGGGCTCGGCCACACACGTGCTACAATGACAATTACAATGGGAAGCAAGGTTGTAAGGGAATGCAAATCCGGAAAGATTACCTCAATTCGGATTGTTCTCTGCAACTCGGGAACATGAAGTTGTAATCGTAAGTAATCGCGGATCATTCTTCTCGCCTCTCGATCCTTAT